GAGACCTCAGCACAGGCTGAGAAGCTGGTGGGGTGTAGAAGACCCCTTCCCCCATACCCCAATGAGAGAGAGAGTTTAGCTATTGCCTGAAGGTTTTTCTTCTGAACTGATGTGGGAGGGCACACGGGGTGGTAGAAATAGTGTTAATACTGTGTATTTATTTGCTTTTTAGTTTCTATAGTTTTTATTCTGTTAGTAATAAATTTTGATATAAGTCCCCCATGCTCAGTTGTGCCCATCTGAAAACTTCTCTTACACTGAAACAATTGTGGGAGGCTTGGAAATTGGGGGTTTGGGAGCTTTTAAACCACGAAAAGGTCGTTGTGTCTGTGTGATATCTTCTGGTCCAGGCCTTAGGGTGTTTTTTTGCAATTCTACTTTGAAGACTAAACACACTAAAGGAATTTAGAGGGATTGATATGGAATGGGGTAATAGAGCTGGGTATGTGTAGCTATTATGCTACAGGATAAGGGATGTAATACAGCTGCATTAAAATCTACATTTACTACACAACTATTTCTAAAATCTACAAAAGTTAAAAAATCCAAGATCTGAGACATCAGAATGACAGAACTGCTGCAGACTAGTCTGCCATTCCTGTCTATAGAATTTGCTCCACATCCAAAAGTCTAAAACCTTTCATACTGGATACTTTCTCTATTAGTGTTTTAAAAAGAGAAAAAAAAGGAAGTAAATAGATAAATAAAATAAAAGAACTCTTAAAATGGATCTTACTTTGCAGAGGGAATTTGGTCTAGCTCATTTTTAGATATTATGTTATATGATGAATATATTTGCAAATATCTCTCTGTGATCAAGTCAGAAGTTGTATTCTAGTATTCTCCTCTGTAAAGTTATCTCAATAGGGAAAGATTACACATAGTTTTGTCATGGAATTGCCAGAGATAGCAAAAGGGTTACACACTCCAAGCAAAACTGATTGTATAACCCAGCCTCTCTCAAGTTCCATGATGATGTTTTAGCCTCAGACCTACATTGTCCATCATTCATTTTCCCCATCACAACAACTCAGGTCAGAATTATATCACATCTTCTGAAAAAAACACCAAACAAAAACCAAAAATCAAAACACTGTTGCAAGTGGAATTTAATTTATTTTCAAGTGTTTATAGAGATATGTATATGGGTCCTCTTAAACCATCTTGTCCGGGAGCTGCTTTATGCTGATGACACCGCCCTTGTCGCTCACACAGAAGCAGTTCTGCAGCGTTTAACATCCTGCTTTGCAGACGCTGCCAAACTTTTTGAGTTGGAAGTCAGCTTAAAGAAGACAGAAGTTCTCCATCAACCAGCACCTCAGGAAGCCCCCCATCATCCCCATATCACCATTGGCCAATCAGAACTCAAATCAGTCCAGCAGTTTAATTACCTAGGCAACCTCATCTCCTCGGATGGTAAGATTGATGGGGAGATAGACAACAGGTTAGCAAAGGCATACAGTGCTTTCGGAAGGCTTTATAAAAGAGTTTGGTGTAATAAACACTTGAAGAATAGTACAAAGATCAGTGTTTAGAGAGCCATAGTGCTGTCTACTCTCTTATACGGATCCGAATCATGGGTCATCTACTGTCACCACCTGCGTATCCTACAATGCTTCCATCAACGCTGTCTCTGTACAATCCTAAACATCCACTGGGCAGATTATGTGACCAATGCATCTGTTCTAGAACAAGCAGCAGTCACAAGTATTGAGGCCATGTTGCTGAGAATACAGCTGCGATGGGCAGGGTACGTCTCAAGGATGAAGGACCACTGCCTCCCTGAGATCTTGCTTTATGGTGAACTTGCCGCTGGCTACCGCAAGAGAGGAGCCCCGAAGAGGAGATACAAGGACTCCCTGAAACAACATCTCGGCCTTGGCCATATTGATCACCATAACTGGTCTACTCTGGCCTCCAGTCGGGAGGCCTGGAGACACACTATCTATAACGCTGCTGATGCCTTTGAGAAAGCACGCAGGTTCACTCTTGAGGAGAAAAGACAACGCAGAATTGTGTCTTGCAGAATATACCACCTAAGGAGTCTTTCTGCTGTGCCTTTTTCAACCGGTTGTACCTATCTCGTATTGGCCTTTTTAGCCATCAGCACGCTTGTAACAAACGTGGGTAGAGCCCTTCCCAAATCTTCATTCGTGAAACCTAGCCATGAGATGAGATATAGGTCCTAAAAAGTTTTAAACTGTTTTTATCAAACCCCATGATTTTCTGATGGGTTCCCTCTTTTACCCTTCCATTTCTCTCCTCATCCCACAAAGGCAGGAGAAATGAGTGAGTGTCTGTGTGATATTTAGTTGCTGAGTGGAGTTAAATCAAAATATACAGTGAGGGAAAGATGCAGAGTCACCATTTCTGTGGATGTTGAAATCCCTTGTGGAAGAGCAGCATTTGTTTGTTTCATAGCACATGGCACTGCGTGTTCCAGATTTCAACTACTTGCCTCATCTGTCTGTCCCATTAATAAAAAAACCCTATCTGTATCACTGTAAAATGTGTTCTTTTGTTTCCCGCATTTCTTCCCTACATTTTCAGTTCAAAAAGCATTTTCACACTACTCCTTGTTTCTTTCTACCTTATATTTGGTATTTTGATAGTAGTAGAATTCCCACATACATCTGCAGCAGTAAACTAGATTACTGTAGGAAGAGAAGGTGAGAAATATATTACCCAATATTCTTTCAGGAGAAAAAGTGGAAAGAGACTGGGAAAAAGATCAGTGAACTCAATAAAGATGAATTAGTCAAGTTATGAAAAGAAAGGAACCAAAACACCAAAATGGTATTACCTGCTTTGTCAGCTAAGGTCAGACAAATTAACACTGCCTAGACCAAGAGGGGATTCCTGGATTTTTTTAACCATTTTAAACAGTGCTTGAAATGCATTTTTATAGCTAACTTAAGTGCATTTCTCTCGATTTCTTTTTTATTTCTGGTAATGCCATGTTGCTTTGTTTTCTGTCATTTAGACCACTCTATGTTTACCTTGTGGGCTGAATAGTTACTACCAACTCTATAAGGTGAATCACTCCATTTTACAGAGAACTAGCTGTTCCTTGGGATAGAAGGAAAAGTTAGAGAAACAAACAGTGTCAAGAATGAAGATGTGACTGATTTTCATATTTTCAGGGTGATACAGGGGAAAGACGTGCCTTTCCCTTAGTACCAACTAAAGCCTTACTCTCTGGACAGGAAGGGATTTTGCACACCAGGGGAGCATCAGACCATTTTTCTTCTGTGGCTTTCACTCTGTGTTTAACAGAAACTAGGATACTAGGAAAATCTGTGCCTTCCAAGGCTTCACAAAAAAACCAAGGATCCTTGACTTGTGACTATATATCCTTCCTAAATATAATTTATATATCTATATGTGTGAATATATGTATGCCTATGTACATACGTACGCATATAAAAAGTGGACGATTTCTCTTCACAAGTTTTAGTAACCTGTTGACCTATGAACGATTCTTATTTAGATACCAAAAACATAGTAAGCTTAGATAAATAGCATAAGAAATCTATCCTTTGCTTTTCCATAATGTATCAGTGACATTACTCAAAAGCATAATACATGTACAATACTCCCTTGTCTGTCTAGGAGGCCACATAAATGTTAAATGCAGTAGAGATGAAGACTGAAATGAAAAGTGAAAAATATTCATTGGCAATAGCTTATGGAATGGGATTAACAAGAAAGAAATGAAAGGAATCCTTAACATGTGTCTAAGGTCTGCTCAACTTACAATCATCAGATTCTTCTTTTCATCTTAGAAAATATTGAAAGCAAAAATCATTAGCTGAAGCAAATCTTGGGAAAGGTGAATAGATCTTAATTTTTATTAATATTACTGCTGTAATATACTGAAATTGAGATATGCAGTTGTTTTAGTTCAGTTTAAGACTGGCATCAATAGCAGACTAATTTTGAAAGGAAAAGTTGTGTATTTCCCATATGAATGACTTAAGAGTGTAACTGTTAGTAGACTTATGAAAAAGGCTATTCACTACAATGACAATATTCTAGACATGTACCAAAGTCTGTAATCAAGTCTTTTCTTTTAAGGGGATTTTTGTTTGGTTGTTTTTTTGTTGTTTGGCTTTTTTGGCTATGTTCTCACAGAAAGCAAATGTGATCTTTGTGACTTTAATGCATATGGATTTTCTATACAGTTTTAAAAACCCTACTGTTCTCCTGAACTCAATATATTTCCAAAAGCAACTTGAAGGAAGGTGCAATGAATTTATCTGAGGTTCTTTCTGGTAAAACTAACTGCTCTCTGTACTGAGCACTTCTGTCTCTGAAGTTTCATGAAGCCAGAAGGAAACCAAGCTAGAATGTCAAGCCTTTGCGTCCACTGGGACAGTTGTCCATAAATAAAAGTTGCTATTATTTAGTGTTCTTTTTGTATTTTCCTCTCTAGTTTAATAAACTGTTCAGAAGTAATCTTTGTTTTTCCAGATAAAAGTAAATTAAAGTTATCAGGAGTCACCAGCCTGAAAAACGGAGGATGATAGATTATGGTCACACAAAGCATATATTTCTGAACAGTAATTTGGTGGATAGTAATTTATTTGTTTTTAATATTAATAGTTTATTTTATTATACTATACTTTTAATTGCTTTTTAGTATGAAACACTAAATGTCTGAGTCCTGAATACTTAATTCCTGCCAAAGGAAGTATAATTCTCTGTGTCAAAATTTAACTTACTGCTCACAGATATGGTCCACTTTTTATTCCTGCTTCATGACTGTCCTCATGAAGGAGCAAATTGAGACTTTATGAAGTCTCCTACTAAAGAAGTGCTTCACAAGCTCCTCAGGAAAACTCAGGTGTTAAATGCTCATCATTGTCTGCCATCAGTCAGGGAATGAGTGTCATGGTGGTTAGCAGCAGTCGTCAGAAGCCCTTCCAGAATGAAGACTGTGTTCCTGTCTTCCAAACCACACAGTAGCTGCAGGTATATTCTACTGCCCTTAAGCTTACCTGAGACAATATTTTGGAGCTCTATGATGTCCCAGCATGCTCCTGTATTCTGACTTTCTGTCAAAGGATATCTAAAAAAGGTATATTGCTTTAATATTAACCAATTACTTTATAATTACTTGTAAGAAGACAGGTTAAGGTAAAAGCAAATTAAAACTACCTGCCATATCGAGTTACAAAGATTTTTAAATATACAGATGACATAAAAGAGGAGAAAATTATTTTCTCTGTTTATCCCAATGTCAAATATGAAACAACCTCTCTCCTCTTGTTTTACCCAGATGAGGATCTGTAGATAAATAACTGGAGTAAGGTTTTTGTACCTCTTCAATACCAACTCTGTTATCACTAAAAAGAGCATCTGGCTGGGAAAGAATGTAATTCTTTATACTCACAGTCTTGTTTGTGATTTATTCCAGGTTTCATTTAGATTCTAATCTTCCCAGTCTCATTTTGTTTCTGAGATTATTGATATTTAGTTTATTTCAGTTTCAGGCCTGTCATCTTGGATTATGTATAGACAGTTTATCTGCTCATATCTGTCATCTTAACAAATCTTTCACTCTAGAACTGGGTGCAACTCTTCTTCTCCTGCTATGGCAATCCTGAGAAAAACCTTTCCATAGACCACTTTACATAAATATGCAAATCAACAACAGTACTTTCCCTGATAATTACTTATTATAACCAGACAGAAGAGTTATTCACCACTCTGGAGCAATAACCTCTTTGAAATCTTTAACCGATTATGTTTTTATAGACAAATGAAGTACAAAAAGCACATTTAATTCAGATCACCCACTGAAATAATGTTTGAATTCTCCAAGCCTAGAGGGTGAAACTGCAGAAGTCTTGTAGACTATTTAAGACTTTTCTCTTTTACCATAGTTTTTCACACATATTTCTATATCAACTACAAAATCAAATGAAGGTTTCCGAAGATTATACAGACTCAATGAGTGCAAAAAACACTATTGTCTTATACACTATAATAATATGCTTCCACGTAATGGATAATATCCTTATTCATAACATGGTAAAAGACAGAGATGAGGCAGGTTAAGAAAGGAAACTGAATGTGGGTTCCTTCAACTTTGACTCTTCCCGCCTCTCTCTTTCTCCCTTCACTTACTATGAGACAAGGAAGGTCAGTACAATAATGGAAGACAATAAACATTGTGACCTAGTCATTGAGATAAATTCTGTAATACCCCAAAAATATACACCATGTACTATTTTCTGGAAATGTTTTTCACCCTCTACCTACTCTCTAAGAGCAACATTCCACTCTTCTCTTGGATGTTTTGCTGAAAGCCAGACAAGAGTTGGATTTTGTCTTCTTCAGCAGATGTTGTGTGACAGAAGAAATATTGCTGTTTGCCCAAAGCATGCATTCTCATGTTAAGCCTGATATCAAACGTCTGATGTTTACATATATTTTTACTCCATGTTGGTAGAAATAAAACATTCTATACCAGCTATCAAATGAAATTTTACTTTCAGGATTTTTGAAAAAATAACGGAACTGGTGAAATTTCAATGAAAAATGGTGTAGTGGTTTGAACCTTGTTTTCCCCCAGAGGCTGAAAAGTGGTAACCCCCAGGGGTGGAAACCCCTGGAAGTTTTGAAGTTCTGTCCAATGAGCACTCCTGCAGAAATGTAAACATATCACAAGCAACCGGAAGAGGAGTTGTAGGTTAGTAGTTGAAGAAGTAGCCACGTTGTAGAGCCACGAGGAGAGGGGCTCTGAGCCCCTCAGGGCCTCTGAGGCCCCCCAGCCCCAGTTGGGGGCTACAGAGACTTGGAACAGTGTTAAGCTGGACTATGTGTCTGTAGCTGTGAGCTGGGAGATGTTTTCCATCATGAGTGAGCAGAGACAGAGCAGCAGCGGTGGCAGCATCCAGAGGTTTGGACATACAGCAGCGGAGAGAGAGAGAGAGAGAGATAAGAAGCTCGGTCGTCCTGAGAGCTGAGCCAGGACGGTGGGGGAGGTTGGCCTTGGGGGGCCCTCCCTTGCTGCAAGCTACAAAGAAGCTCGCAGCCTGAGGCAGGGCACAGAGGCCCTGCAAGGAACTTGAATCTCCTGGAGATACCAGACCGTCACAAAGACCCCCTGCGTCTCGTGATATGACATGGTGAAACGGCCTTTGTCTGGGGTTATGAAGCCCACGGAAGAGAAGACCCCTCACTTGAAAGATGACGGGGCCGAGGGGCTTGGATATCCCCTCGTGAGTGCTGGCAGAGATCCAGCAACAGCTGCATGCATGAGAGAGAGAGATAGACTGCTTCTGCTACTCTGAAGAAGCTGCTGCCCTGAGAGACTGGAAGGGATCTGTTCTTCTTTCCCTCTTGGACTTTTATTTGGAGGGGAGAAGAGATCTGATCCATTGCAAATACTATATGTCATGGTAGAGATAGTTGTGATCGTGTGTATAATGTGTTATAGTATTTATTTGTACAGTTATTGTAATATATTCCCTTTCTCCCACTTTGAGTCTGGTTGTGTTTTGTCTGGAAAAACCCATCTCACATTAGGTTGAGATGTGGGAGGGGGGATGGAGCTAGGGAATTGGATTTTGGGGCTATCTCAAACCATGACAAATGGGCTTAGAAATACATTGACACAGTGAAAATTCCAACTTCCTTACACAAATTTTAGCTGAGCTAATAATTGCCTAGTACATATGTAATGCATGATCAATTGCAGTTTTCTTGTATAAAATGCATTATAATATACAGAAAAACTAAACAAATTGACAGCTCTAAGATTATGCTTACTTTAATGCACACTTCATCTTACATTTTAAATGACTCAATAATAGGGTCCATAAGTTCTTTTTAAGCCTACTTTATTGATGTGATATAGATTTAAATGAGTGACACGTCTTAAAAAGGAATATGGTCATGTGTAGATTACAGTATAAAACTTGTTCACTAGACTTTGAGAAAAAATCATGTAACTTAAAACTGATGCAGTGCATTCCAATAATTTCACTTTTGGTAATAAAATTTTAACCAATACAGTATACACTTCAGCCAAGCTAGGTCTTGCTACCAGTCAATGGTCAAGATAAATTCATCCAGTGGAAGCACCAGAGGCTACAATGTATGCATGCCTCTCCAAATGAGTTTGAATTCAACAGTTTGTTTTACAAAAAAAGCTGCAGGTTTTCTTTTAACTTGTCTCACTTCTCATAAAAAGGACATTTTTCTATGCAAAAATAGAATTTTCTGTCTCTGCCTTATTGGAAAAATAAAATTCCAAGTCAGCTCAGTGAAAGCTGCTTTGATTATTTTACACTGAAACAGCGTAATACCAACACCTAAAGATAATCGATACTCAGTAAAAAATACTGCTCAGTAGGATTGAGTTGCTCTTTGTGCTTTTACTTTTTACTTTTTACTTTCATTTTTCAAGCCATCTGATGAAGACTGGAAATTCAGTGACATTGCAAGAAGAGGTCATTTTCTGCCTGGAGAAATTCCTCATTAAGTTTCAATTATTTTGCCAGTTTGTACAACAGCCTTTCAGTCTTCCTTACATTCCTAGCACATGTAGGTGGCTAATGTTTCTTCACATATGTTTCACAGCAGGTTCTGAACTATTAGAGCACTTAACAACTAAAAGTTCTGTTCCAGTAGAGCATGTAAATGTGACCCCTGTTGGTTGATGTGCCTACAGTACCTGATAAGAATCACTTAATCGAGTCCTGCACTGAAAGAAGTGAACAGTGGAGGAAACTGCGCTTATCAAATCACATCACAAGCTATAATAACAAAGTAAAATTAAACCACACTTTGGGTGCATTTAAATGAAGCTGTCGTTTGTTAGGACTAACCAGAATACCTACTTCTTTGGTCTTTTATTTTTCCTTTTTTTTTTTTTTTGTGATAGTGTTGTGATTTTACACTTTGGTTTGGTTTGTTTTTTTTAAATAGGATAGAAAAACAAAACCAACTCCATTATTTTAGTTTGTTTGCAAGTTGTGTGCAGTGGAGTAATGAATGTGGCAGGATGATATGCCTCCTCCCTAGCTGGAACTCCCTTCTTGCTCATGACAGAGACGCATTCAATGCTCTGCCTGAGACAGTGCAGTGACTAGTTTTTCCATATCTCAAATAATTAGCACAGACATCAGTTTGAGGAGTCCTGTAGGCTCTTTCCCTGTGACTTTGATCTAAAAGATAAGTCTATTCATGTCAGACACCATCATAACAATTGTTTTTCAAAAATGTGCAGGTGAAAAGTTTCTTACTAATTCAATTACTTGTGCTAAAATTGAGTCTCAGTGTTTGATAGAGTTTTGATATACACGTGAAATCTTTGACTGCGCATATGTCCATCCACTTTTTTGAAAATTTGCGTATTTTCCGACAAAAAAAAATCATCATCCCATTGCTTCACATTTTACAGCAGTTTAGTTCTGATCTTCTGTCCTTTGTAAAACATTCATCTTCTGGTTGCAAAAAGGCATATTTACCATGGGGTTTTGTGAGCTTTGAGAGATTCACGTTAACTTTGTCTAGTGTCATATGCTTAAGGCATCCATTAAAATCATCCCCAAAGTAAGAAAGAAAAGAAAAAGAAGGAATCCAGGTAAGGTCTTAAAACCACTACTTAAGAGACATCATAAATAAAAGAAAATACAATATAGTGAGGTCAGGAAAAATTATATAGAGATCCCTATTAAAACAAACCAACTAAACAAAACACCAATAAAAGTAAACAAACAAACAAAAAACCTAAAGACATTTTCCTATAAAATTCAGGGCAACAGGGATGCGCTCTTCAAATAGGTGTAACAATTCTCAGTGTCAGAAGAGCACTACAGTACGTTGAGAATGTTGTACAGTTCTTTGATTATTCTCTATCACATAATGACTTAGAGATGTAAAAGGCTTGCCTCTTTTAGTTCCCAAAAAACTTTTATACCTCGTTAAACCTTCAAAAGACCCATCAGGTAAGTCCTGGAAAACAGAAAAATCAAGAACTGTGTTTCTTCTTTGCATTATATATGAAACTGAAGAACATAAAAAACTCCTTCATGTCTTCACTCAGACAGAGTTTTCATCTGCTAATCTGGGAGCAAACAGGTAAGTTCATACTAAAATATTTATGTATCCTTCTTCTTTTTATTAATTTTCAATTAAAATGTTAAATTAAACATTAAATTTTTAATAGAGTTAAATTTTAAACTAAAAAAAGGAAAAAACCCTGTATTTTTTGTACATAAACATCTTTAATTATCTCATATAAATGGAAAATATATTTTCTTAGGTACACTAATAGTAGAATAACATTTGAAATTATTTGCACATTTTAACCTGAATTTAGAATAAAGAGAATCTCACACTGTGTTAACATTTATCAAACTCTTAACACTATGCTAAACAGCACATTCCTCTCAGAAAGATGCTGATGCCTGAGCACTATTATCTGCTAAAAAGGGGGGAAGAATGGGGGTGTTGATGTAAGCACATAGCAGTAAATTTATATTACAAATATGGGATTTGTATCTGAACACGTTATTTTTTACATTTGTTCCTCAAAAAAAGCTAGGAAAGCAGGTTTCATCTAGGTTAGTAAAATAAGAGAACAGAGAAATCCTGAAAAGGCTGAAAAAACAAATTGAAGCAATCAGGCAAAACAGCAATTTTGAAGCTAAGGTTCTTTTACACTGTCACTGAAGACAGTTTCCAAAGCTCTACTATATGAAAAACCGCAGGAAAAAACTGAATTTTTGAGGTTGTTACCACCAGTATTTCACCCCAAAGTTATAGTGCCCTAAAAGTTACTCATGAAATAAATTAGTGATTCTTCTTTACTTACTTTATAATCCATTCATCTGGCTCAGTAAGTGGTATTATTTTACTGTTAATCTTGGTAAAGGGTAAATAATGGGGCAGAAGAGAAAAACACAGAAATGAAAAAAAAAAACATAAAACTATAAAAAAAAAAAAGAAAAATCTTTCTAGTTCTGGAATGTGATTATTTTTGTCAGATTGCTCTGCTTCCTATCACTTCTAATCCTATTCACTCTGCACATATTATCCTGGAAAACAATTTTGATCTTGAAATTTCACATTATCAGTGTCTTTGCCTTCTGCAGAATTCTGAAATTGAACAAAAGCAGAGCTCATCTACAAATCTTTCTTTTCCTTTCTGAAATTACTTATTTCTAAAATACTAAACAATTAACGATTATTTATTTCTAATATTGAGCAAAGTATGATTCATATTAAAATCAATTTTGATCTATGAAGAATTTTTTCCTAGAAATTCTTAATTCTTCTTGATTTTGACTTAGAAAGCCAGTAGAAACCAAAGGTTTTTTTAGTAATTCAGATATAGATCAAAGAAATATTTCCTCAACTAGTTTCAAATATTGTAGTTCTTCTTCCCCCCCCCCCCCCCCCCACCACATTTGGTTCAACATTGTCTATGTCCAGCATTGAAAATATAAACTATTAATAGTGAGGTTACAGATGAGGAAACTTACTTCCTATTCTTCTTAGTGACAGTGTTTCTATCACTGATCTTGAATCTCAGGAGTGATTTTGATATAGCTAAAGATACACTGTCTATTGCTGATTTAGGGTTTGTTTGTTCTGTTTGTTCATTTTACCTTTTTCAAGCTTATCTTTATCCAGAATAGACACATTGATCCTTGAAGGGCCACAGGGTATCGCTTCTATTACTCTATAATACTTCTCATTCCTTTTTGGTAGGCTGCCTTGAAGCTTTAATTAATTCCACTGATCAGTCTTAGTTTCAACTTTTATCATTCACATACAGTTTATAAAAATGATGAAAATCTATTCTTATCTACCAGTATTTCATTCGTCACTATGCTTCAAATTTTCATTCAGAAAACTCAATTTGATTGCAGTTGGTGTTATTTTTTCAGAAAAAATTAAATTGAGTATACACTAACAGGCATAATATTGAAACCATTTAGAACACTTTAACACAAATTAAGATGAATATACTTTTTATCTAGGATGTTTTCATCACTTATTGTGGTAAACAGGTGAAACTAAGTGTTGTACAAGAGCTGCTATGAATAATCAATAAGAGTTCTATTTACAGTACTGTTAGTTCTTACTTTTTTTCTGTACCTATTTTATTAGGAATTTTCTGTCACCTTAATAATTTTTCTTAATTTTTTTTCCTTTGGTTTAGGAGATAGCAATGAAAGGTTGTTTCCCTGTTACATTTGTTACTTAAAATAAAGGCATTTTTTTGGCATTTTTCCCCTGATTTGAATTATTGTCATTCAACAGTCAAATGAATAATACGATAACAGCATCAGAATGAGCCACTGCTGTTTTAAACATGTATTGAAGTGATAGATAAGCAGCTTGAAGGAATTGGATGCTCTTACTTCTTACTGATATCTTAATGTCTTCTGTAGTTATTTGGGGTTATTAATTGTGGTTTAAAGGACACCAGCATTGAGAGCAATCCTTACAAATCTAGTCATTAATTGTATTCCTTTTAATATAGAAAAATATAAAATAAACCCTAGCCACCATTAATCTTATAATTACTTCATTTCCAATTTATTCTACACGTCTTTCAGTGGAAAGCTCACTAGTTCTTATACTAAACATATTTCTTGAAATATCAGAAGTTCTTATTTTATTGTTGAGTTTATTTCTCAAATTAAATTATTTTTTGATTATTTAAAGATTATTTTGTAATCTTTTGTTTACAGTGTAAGTGGCAATTATGACTAAGCTCAACAAAAGCCTTTTAGCCTAGTGTATTTTCACTTGTTAGGCAAGAAAAGCCATTCCAAAATTGCTGAGGGACTGGAGATCAGAAATATAATTAATATTAAGAACTTTATATACAATGAAGTTTGATAGTTTTTCTGCTAACCAAGGTACTACTTGCCCATTTCCTTTTATATACAGGCTAAATATTTCAGTTTTAGAAAGATAGGTTTAAATCAAAATAATATTTCTATATTCAAGGGGGACAAGGGGAGGAAGGAAACTAAAAGAAAGACGAATTAAAAAATCATTCCCTGTTTTATAGACTATCTTAAACAAAAGACTGCATAAACTGTACTGAACTGGGAGATTGCTTCTCCCTGATGCTGTCACACACTTCTGTTTAGTGTTCTGGTTTTAGTTATTTGTTTGCTTACAGAGATGAACAGAATAATTTGTGGGAAATGCTATCAAACTGAGGGATGGAAGCGAAATCTTACATTGTTCAGATAGTTCTTTGTTACTCAGTTCAGATAATTGTTCTTTTTTATTATTATTATCTTTCTTGAAGAAAAGCTTGTCAAAATTAAAAAAAAAAAACCAACAACACAAAACAAAACAAAAAATAAAAAAGCAAACTAAATACCACACTTAGTATATTTTTTCCCTGTCTGGTCATCTCAATGACCTGGTCTTTTGATAATATTTCAGCTAATGGTCTTTTAATATTTCTGGTATTCCCCTGGTAATATTTTAGCTCATGAATGCACAGTCTCATAAGAAATGTAGGGCAGAGAACAGTTATTTTTGTATTCATTTTAACAATTGCACAGATTAGATTATTAGCTAGTTTTAATGGTTAGGAAAGATTCCAATGTTATAATATTAATTCTTTGTTCTTTAGAAACCATTTTCTGATCTATCTTCTGCTTTCTATCACAATTCAACAGATATAAAACTCAATTTCTAAAAATCTAAAAAATACAACTCCAACAGATTTGCAATGTTTAATTTCATAAGTTATCAAACCAAGGAGTTATTCAATTTTCCTTGTATTACATTTTTTGTAGGAATTGTATTTTGTCTCATTTTCCTTCCATTGGCTGGGATATTTAAGAACTGCAGCTCCCAGAACTCTCACCATTAAAAGAGACATACAGAACAAGAACAATCCCATAAGAAGGACGTCCTTTCCCGTTAAGCGAATAAGTCAGCTCCTAAGTATGGAGAAATGTTAATTGAATATTGCATGGGTTTTAAATTAAGTATTTCAGAATAGATCATTAAACCAAGAGGAATATTTTAAATATTTTTCCTGTCAAATGTTAAAATATTAGTATATCGAGAGAGACTGAAATTCTAAAATTTATATACCTCCACTCACCTTAGAAACTTTTGGGGTGTACAGTCTTATCCAGTAGCAAAAGACACAAATGAACTTGACTACATTCTGTTGAAAGTGTCAGTTAAACAGTGCTGGATGTGATGGATTTACTCTGGTTGTATTTTCAAACTTCTACAAAATTGCTACAAGTTGCAACAGGCAAGACAGACTTGACGTGAGGAATAATATTAAAGTTTATTGCTAACAGAATAGAAACTAAAAGTAACAAAATACACAGTATTAAACACACTTTTACCACCCTGCAGTCCCCTGGTCAATGCAGGAAGAGAAACTCTCAGGGCAATAGCTAAAGTCTCCCTTCCAATCCAGGTGAGAGGGGGTATCTGCACCCCCTGAGGTCCTTTCATGGGCTGCGAGGGGACAACTTGCTATGCCATGACCTTCACCACAGGTTACAGGGAGTTAAAGCTCTGAGTCTTTTCCCTGTTCCTTGGTGTCCCTCCCAGGGGAAGGGAGGGAAGGGACTTCTGAAGGGACCCCTCCAAGTCGGGTCTACCCCTCCCCCCCGGATGCAGGTTCTGGGATTCAGGTCAGTCTCTTTATACCCTGATAATTTTCACCAGATTCGCACCCAGAATCAACCTGCTTCAGTGTGGCTTCTCTCTCTCTCTGTTGCAAATTCGAGAGGCAGTGGTAGCTGTCCTGGCTGTGCTTCTCTTCTTCGCTCTGCTCTGCTCCTGGCACGCTTCATGCCGTCTGCTGCTGCCGCTCCGGGCCTGCTCCGGGCCCACTTCACTCCGGATCGTGCGTTGCTGCCACTCCAGCCTGCTACCACCCCTCCCCTGCAGTGGGGGGAGGCAGCGAGGCCGGCCGGAGAACTCCCAGGCAGTTTCTCTCTCGCTGTCTGGAATTTCTTCTGAGCTCTGCTGCACGCCTCATCCAGGGGACTGGCTCAGCTCCAGTGCTGCGTCTGCCCCTGGGCCAGGGTGGGGATGGGGGGGTGGGCCTGGCCTCCGTGGGACCTGCTGACCTCTCTGCCACCTTCATATCTCTAATTTCTTCTGCGCCACAAACCTTCTCTTCCAGCTACTTAAATATGTCATTTGTAGAGGCGTTACTACAGCTTCTCATTGGCTCAGTACCGGGAAACCCACCTAGAAACAACCATCTTCAGTTCTAGGGAAGGGCTAGTAAACCCATGGCACTGGAATATATTTTTCTCCAAAATAGAGAATGTTTGCTTTGCGAAAAAATTTCATTTGCAGTTTCCTCTGTTACTTTTCACAAGTTCTTGTGAATTGAAAGTCCTCAAGAAATGGTTTAAGATTTTTCCTATTTTTCTCTCTGTGCAAAGGGATGCTAAGCCTGCTGGCAGTTAATTACTTTTGGTTTTCACTCTTTTTAAGTAGGTTATTACTAAACATTCTTGTCCTAGATTATAATTTTACATGACATTGGAGTACTGTTTATTCACAACTGCCTGTAGGATTAGGTGTTTATAATAAAAGCAATAACCTTGTTTATTTGTATTTCAGATGCTGCAACTGAGACTAAGTAAATATACTTTCTAACTGTTTCATAAGTGCTGCACAGAGACATTTATGCAGCTGGTTTATAAAGTGGTGTTGCTGTGTTTTAAAGTTGCTGTTCTTAATAGTTTGTCATTTAAACTTTTCTATGGAGATACATGTGTGGTTCAGACCCCAGGCATAAGTATCCTAAGAGAACATCAAATCTATTTCCCACTCTTTACTGACTTGCAGCAACGTGGTTTGGTGCTTTTGGTTGACCTTTGCTGGCCAAGAGACTTGAACCAAGATAGTCTCTCACTCCCCCTTCTCAGCAAGACAGGAGGAAAAAATATGATAGAAAGATCGTGGGTGAGATAAGGATAGGAAAATGACTTGCCAATTACCAACATGAGTAAAAAAAACAACTCACACTGGGAAAGTTTAATTGAATTTATTGCCAATTAATAATAGAGTAGGATAGAAAGAAGAGAGTAGTAGGAATTTAAAACAAAACTGAAAACTTCTTTACTTCAACATTTCTTCCTCCCATGCTCAACTTCATTCTTGACACTTCTACATCCTCCACACCCTGAGAAGTGGAGGAGGATGGGGAATAGGAGTTGTGGTCAGTCCATAGCAGGTCCTCTCTGCCACTTCTTGCTCTGCACATGCTCCAGAATGCTCCAGTGTGAGGTCCCTCCATGGGGCAAAATCCCTCAAGAACTACTCTAGTGTGGGTCCTTTCCATGGTCTACAGTCCCTTAGAAAAAGAATTCTCCACTGTGGGACTCCCATCAGCTACAATTCCTGCCAGGAGCCTGCTCTGGGATTAACTCTCCATGAACTGCACTGAGAATATCTTCTTCAACATGGTCCTCCATGAACTGCAGGGAAATTTATGCTCTGGAGACTGGAGAAACTCCATCTCCCCTATTATTCACCAAACTTAATGTTGTTTCCTTCAGATTTTCCTCATCCTTCTCTCTGCTGGTGCACACTCTTTTTTTATCCTTTATTAAATACATCATTCCAGAGATGCCACCAACATGGCTCACTGGCTCAGCTTGGGGCAGTTGCTGGTGCATTTTGGAACTCACTGAAACTGGCTCTGTCTGACATGAAAACGGTTCCTGAAGTTTTCTCACAGAAGGCATTCCTGCAGATCCCACACTACAAAAAGTTTGCCATGTAAGTCAAGACATATTATTAACTCAAAGTCTGTGCTTTCACTTTGAGGTGCTTGTTTTTCCTTCTTTTTTTTATAAAGGCAACCGGAACAAAGTTTAAATGAAAACTCCATTCTTAGGTACAAAAAAAATACCATTATTCTAAGGGTAAAATTTATCCTTGCAAGAAAAATGTTTATATTAACATTTTTTTACCAAAGTAAGTTTACTACTGAATTGTAGTAAACAAGAGATCAAGGTGTTCAATTAATATGCAAATCCACAAACTTAAGTTATAAACAAGTTTTAAAATAGTATTTTAACTCTGAAAGATTTCTGTATGCAAAATGAAAATTTTTAATTAGGGAAATTTTAAATGAAATATTAAATATTTCTATATTTCTTACAGACTTTATAAATGATTTTTCTTCATAGGAAAAAAAAGAAAAAATAAAGAAAATGTGAAATACTTTATACCTTTTGAGACATTGAAGAAATTTTTTTTCATGTCTCCTAATTCTGAAACCAGACCAAAGAAAAAATTAATGACAGGGGATAGAGTAGGAAAACAATTAAGAATATGGTCTATATATTAATTTCTAAGGTACCAGTTCAATTATCTGAAGTACTCTGCAGATTTACAATAAACTCTTGGAATCACCTTAGCGTATAAAAATTATGGTGATATGAAATGAAAGATAAACAAGAGTTTCTGAAATATTTGGTGGTAGAATGGGACTTCTCAACATTAATGACAAAGACTGAAATATTCTGACATGATTCTATTTTGATAAATAAATAGCTTCACATGCTTTCAATTTAAGCTAGTCTGGGATTCATATTATTATTAACTCAAAGAAAATTTTATGTTGACAGACTCTACTATGTTACATCAAAAAAAAAAAAGATGAAAAAGAACCACTTACATCATTCTCTTCAGCACTAAAACAATTGAATATGTTGCCTGCATTTTTAACTTTCATAGCAATATTTTTACATTGGAGGTCATCTCTGTTCTTCAGAACCTGTCTTTGCTCTTTAAACCATGTAACTAGGAGACCTCACAGCTCTTACTTCACAACATTTTCAATTTAATTTAGAGATATAAAATAAATATATGGATATAGAATTCCTGAAGCTGCAATATGATGTACTACAACTCTTGATTTACGTAGGGTCTGAAGTTTTATTACCTTCCCTCCTTGTCCTGAAATTCTTATGGCAAATTGCCTGCTGCTAAAGAATTGGGTATGTTCTGGCTTACAAATTAAATGTTCTCTCTGATCTTTGGCACAACAGATACCTCTGACACCTTTATTCATTATCTGTTGAGAATGCTTTTTAATCAGCATTCTTATTTTAAATGGAGACACAATTTCTGTGGCTCTGGTTTCCTAGCAACACAGTTTATTGTCACAGACTTTTGTAATTTCTAAAGATCTCTGTTCAGAATGCTTTTCATGGTTGTTAACATGGCTGTTAATGCTCTGTACAGATTCACGGACATAATACTTTGATACCCCATATCAGAGCTGGTTTATTTTACTGTAACAAACAACATATCAAGCATCAAAATAACTTAAAATGACCACCACCAAAACTCATAGCAAACCAAATTCTGAGAAGAAGTAGTTTATAAAGACTACACTTAAAGTATGTATTTTGAACATTGATTCATTTGTGCTCTAAAATTTATCCTATTGGATAAATAGCATCGGAAACTAATGTGAAAGGTCAAATGTGGTCTGCTGTCCTCTATTTTCAGAAAAAAATTATCTCAAAATATTTTGCAGTTTACAAGTTTTTAGTAAAAACTGCCCTTTTTTGGATTTGTTCTTGCATAAAAAATAGCTGCACCTTTTATTAGTTAGAAATGGGATTAGAATAAGAGATTGTCTGTACTGATTTGGTAGAGAATTTCCCCTGCAACTGAAACTATAGGTTTGTATAATTGCTGTAACCATCGAAGATGGATTTAACACAGGCTAAATGCTGAATCTTGATGGAATCTGAGTCTTGACCTCCAGTATATATATTTCTCAACAATTTTTTAAAAGTATGGATTAAAAAAATACTCAAGAGAAAAAACCTACTGTATTAATTTTATCTTATTAATGAATTACCTCAATTATTTTGCAAGTGTAGCATTATTCTCTTAAGAGGTACAGCATAAGTAATAGAATTTTCTAGTATTCCACAACTTATATGAACTAAATGAACTATGCATTCCTTTAAATGAAGGAAATATATAGGAATAAAGTGAAAAATACTACTGTTAATGTGAATAAACAAATAGAACCATCTATAAGGACAGCATAAACAAATTACTTTTTAAGGTAATTTGGACAGTAACCCATAATCTTTCTAGTAATGATGTTATCCTTCAGATATAGGTCTAAATCATGTTTCTTTTTCATTCTAAATTATATCATAAAAGACATGCAGGAGGCTTTGGAGTCAATGTAGATAAAAATCATTTAAAGGGAGAATCTATGAAACATCTGATTTCAACTATCCCAAAAATAGAACATACGCTTTTCATATCAAAGCCAAGTCAGTGCACTACTGTTAGGATATCAGACCAGTCAGGTGATGACAGTCTAGAAGGATGTTGCAAAGTGAGAGTTAGTCTATACAGTAAAAAGAGAGAAAATGAATGAGAATAGTGAGATATGAAGAAATCCAATTCAGAAGATATTCACATGGCAAACAAGAAAAAGATCAGCTGAAGTACACTCTCAAGTCCTTGATTACATGGAAGCAAAGAAATTGAGCTGAAATTACCTAAAAGAGCAGAATAATAACTGGGTAGGTGGGGTGGAGGAGAAACAAAACAAAACAAAAAACAGCCAACCAAAAAAACCCAAGACAACTCAGATGAATGACCCCGCCTGTCTGAAGACATATCCCATACCATATGGCATCAGGATCAGTTATAAAAGCTGAGGGAAAGAGTGAGGAACATGAAAATTCACAGTTATGCTGGTTGTCCTAAAATAAGTAGAAATGAGATGAGAAAGGCCAAGACTCACCTGGAATTAAACCTGATCAAGGATGTGAAGGATAAGAAGAAGGCCTTCTTTAAATACATCAGTCATGAAAAGAAAACAAAGGACAATGTGGGCCCATTACTAAATGGAGGGGGGACCTTGGTAACAGAGGATGCAGAGACCATCAATTTACTGAATGCCTTCTTTGCATTGCTCTTCACTGACAAGACCAGCCCTCAGGAATCTCTGACCAGGGAAAAGGAATCGTGGAAGGAAGATTTTCCCTTGGTCAAGAAGGACTGGGATAGAGAACACCTAAGTGAACTTGACATCCAGAAGTCTATGGACCCTGACTCTCAGCACCTAAAAGTGCTGCATGAGTTGGTGGTACCAACTGCTGCTCACGATGGTCTTTGAAAGGCCATGGCCATCAGGAGAGGTGCCTGAGGATGGGAAGAAAGCAACTATCACCCTTTTCTTCAAAAAGGGCAAGAAGGAGGACCAGCCAGTCAACCTCATCTCAAGCTCTGGAAAAGTGATGGAGCACCTCATTCTGCAGGCCATCTCTATCTGTGTGGATGACAAGAAGGTGATCAGAAGTAGTCGGCATGGATTCACTAAAAGTAAATCATGCTTGACCAACCTGATTATCTTATACGATGAGACAACCTGGATGGATGAAGGAAGAGAAGTGGATATTGTCTGCTTCAACTGCAGCATAGCTTTCAACACTGTCACAGCATCTGTAGGCTGGACCGACCACACCAGCTACCTGGATGATAAAAGAAGTAGAAGAAAATACTAAAGCAAAAATACTGTGGTCCTGG